ATATTACTGGATTTTGCTCAAGGACAACTTAGTTTCTGGCATGACTGAACTGAAATTCAGAAAAGTTTCCATCCATTTTGGATTAACTGTAGGCCAATGTTTTGCCTGAAATCAATCCAAACTTTTTTTTTTAAAAAAGAAGCTATTTCTATTCCCCATGGTTTAAAATCTACCTTTTCTAAAGAAACATAGTTAAGATTAGTGACAGAAAATTAGGATCAACAAAATGCTATGATCCATTTATTCAGAACCTTCCAAGCTTATCCTGTTACATACACTTAACGGAAAAGATGAAATGACCAAGTCTAATAATTACCAAGGCTTATGCCTGTAATGGTTAGTCATGATTTTCAGAAAATATAAATGTAATGTTCCTGGCATTTAATCTGCTAGACCTAATCAGCCACAAAAGAAAATATAGAGAAGAATAATGAACATGGAGCAAAAAAGAGGAAACTGTATTAGGATTTTCTAAGTTTCTAGTGCAATTGAGATTTCAATTACTGTATACAAATATTGCTTTATATATCTACTTATATCTATTTTTAACTGTTTCAGATCTAAACATATGGCTTCCACTGCAATGGGTAAAACTATTAATAAAAAAAATGTGAATGACCCACTTAGTAAAATAAAATTAATTGTGATATGAATGCTATCAATGTACCAAAGTATCAGTAAAACTGCTATTAACATTTCCCTTTCAAATCTATTAAATACACAGAAAATATTTAATCCTACAGTACATTTACATCAATTGTAAAAGACTTAAAATCTCTAGGATGTACCATTCAAAAGTTTAACAGAAGTAGACATGCATTAGTATGCCGAACAGACTAAATTCAATTATTTTTCTTATAGGCTTCTGTGTAATTACTTTCTTGCACATAGGAATTATGCTAATATGCTTTACTTTTTTTATGGCTCCCATCTTCACAGCTGATGCAGTCATTTCCTAGTGTTACTAAAATTAATTCTTCCTTTTTCCTGTTCAATTACTAGGCAAACAAAAGATAAATCTACTCATTTTGTGAAAACTCTATTCATTTACCAAGGTGCAGACTTAAAAGTTTTATTAGCTAAGAATGTTAAAATACTGTATGACAAAATCTTCCTAAGGTACTGATGACAACTTTTAAAAATGATCATATACTTTTTTGCATTTAATCAGTGTAACAATAGCAGAAAAATGTGTATTTTTCTGTGAGAACGATGTGCGGTAATTGAATAACATGTTTCTTATTGTCACAGATTGTCCAAATCATTCTTGATCACGCTAATCAGAATTTCCTGTTTATCATATTTTACATTTTTGCCCAGTGATGCAGAGTATTCATATCAACACACTCATCTCCATAAACAACTTGCATTTGTCAATGAATTGCAATTGAAGTGACTTCTATCACAGTTAAAACAAAATCGATCAATTATGGCATGTTTCAGACTTATGATTGTATGCCTTCCAGAGCTACCTTGTGGTAAGATGGACGGCCAATAAATGTTATAAATAAATAAATAACATATTTTCTTAGGTTCCTACTAGTTTTACTAGTTCCTACTAGTAAAACCCAAAGAACAGGTATTAAAACATATCAGAGTTATTGCCTTGTGTTAATGACCTTGAGCTAATGCCCTAGTGTTACACTGAAGATAATTTTGAAATTTATTAGTCTACTTATTTTTTATCCCTTATAATATACACCTATTTATTTTTTATCCCTTATAATATACACCTATTTCAATAGTTAGAATTGATGCATGGTTTGTTCATATATATACACGTAAAATTGGAAGTGTCTTGGCGACGTTTCGACGAAGTCCCATTCGTCATCTTCAGGCTGGTGTCTTCAGCTTCGTGCTTCGAGGAGCAATGTGTGGTCTTAGCTGTTTCTTCCTTTTAACTGCCAGTGGGCGTATGAACTGATTGGGTGGGAGCTTGGCTGTGTTCTGATTGGGTGGAGGTGTGTTCTGATTGGTTAGGGGCTTGGCTGTGCTCTGATTGGCTGGGGGGTTGGCTGTGCTCTGATTGGCTAGGGGGTTGGCTGTGCTCTGATTGGCTGGGGGAGTGTTCTGTTTGGTTGTGCTCAGGTTAGTCAGCTAAGATTTTGGGCTGCCTTGCTATTTTTTGGCTTCGCGTTCGTGGTCGTGGTCGTACCTCGTCTTCATGGAGGGTGTCAGTTTGCTTCATGCTTCAAAAAAAAAAAAAAAAAATAGCAAGGCAGCCCAAAATCTTAAACCCCCCTGCAACTCAGACTAACCTGAGCACAACCAAAAAGAACACTGGCAAGGGGGTGTTGATAGTATAGTTATTAACGTCCATATGCAGGTGTTTCCGATGGCGGGGGGATGCGGGTTCCTGTCCATAACACCGCAGGTCTTGGTATGATTGCTTGCGATGTAATGAGTGATTATTTGTGTCCCATTTCCGCAGCGCTTGTTGCACTGGATGCAAGTCAATGCGACGATTAATTGAGCTGTCATTCGAGAACCAGGCCTCTTTCAGTAGCCGGCCTCCCTTCGTGGCATTACTAGCTACGATACAGGTGTTAGCAAAGTCAAATTGATGGCCCTCCTGCGCCATATGCATCCAAAGTTGTGAACGCTGCTCTCCCCGTTTTATAGCCAACTGGTGTTCATGGAGACGAGTCTTCAGGCGTTTGGCTGTTTCCCCTACATAGTTGCCTTGGCAATTCTTACAGTTGATCTTATAGACAACAGATGATTTCTCCATAGGAGGTAGGGGGTCCTTTGGGCGCATGACTTTAGACCGTAGAGTTTGATTTGGCTTGTGAGCCACCTCTATCCCATATATATATATGAACAAACCATGCATCAATTCTAAATGAGGCATTTTCTGCTACAGTATCAAGTATGTAGATAATACGTTTTGCTTCAAAGCCTCATTGGTACTCAATGCTTATTTCTTCTAAACATCTTTGAACAGAGTCTCTCATCAAAGTTTTCTTAATAAATCTGGTTAATTTATAAGAGAATGAAGACTAGGAATATATAGCCTACTTTACAATGAAATGAATTTTAAAAAATTCCTTCCTTCCTTCCTTCCTTCCTTCCTTCCTTCCTTCCTTCCTTCCTTCCTTCCTTCCTTCCTTCCTTCCTCCCTCCCTCCCTCCCTCGGTGACATGATATGAAGAGCATTAAACACCCAGAGTTTTAAATAAATGAAAATAAAATACCACATTGGGAACAAGGCCATAAACGATCTGGAGTCAGGTAAAAATATGAAGATATCTATATTTGCAGAACAATTCTGTGCAATTTCTGTATATGTGAAAATCCAAGTAGACTAATAAATTTCAAAATTATATTTAGTGTAACGCTGGGGCATTCCTATATACCATCGTTTATACACTAATGGATTCTGAATGTGTTGTGACAAAGACTGGAGAACAGCCATGAAAATGTCAAAGGAGATAAGAATGGTAAAAAATTATCTTAGGAATTGTTAGAAAGCACTGTTCTAAGAAAATGTCCAGTACAATAACAACTTCCTATAAGGTTTAATTTTTGGTGCCCTGATCATCATCACTGCACTTCTTTGAATCTAATCCAATTGCTCTGAGTCCTTCTTAATGTGTGAATCTAGACTGGGCTCCCAGCTAAGATAGGACTTGACCAAAATAAATAGACTGAAACTATTTATATGCAATCTAAAATTGAACATTGCTGGCTCATATAAAAACCATTTTTTCCAGCCTACAAAGATAATTTTGAAACTTTGGCCACAAATGGGTTTACACATTGGACAAGCTGTCATGCAATTTGGTGTGGATATGCATAGATTTCAACCTAGGCTTTCTGGTTTACAGGAGATCAGGATTAAAGTAAGCTATTGTTAAGTAGTGAAGTGGGCATTAGAAATATTTTGGAGTATTTTCATGGCTGGGAACAGAATTGTAATAAGTATGAGAACCACAACTTTCAGCCATCCCTTCCCTTGTAGAGTTTGATTTTAGGAAGGGATTCTTTGTTTATAAACAATGTATAGGTTATGTAGGTCTTATATTGCAGTGTTTGGCTGTTTCCTGTTGAAATTGAATTGGGATCAGAGATGACTTCCAATGTACCTGTTGCCTATCTCTGGCTTAGTATAAAGAATGAACTCACCTAATTACTAATATGTGTTCAGGCTTATTCAGTTTGGTTCTTTCCAGATTTGTTTGAATGTAATTGTCATAATTCATTAGCCATCATTCATAGACCATAATAAAACCACCAATGGAATAGTGACTTTGGTCCAGAAATCTATATTCTTTACTGGTACAGAAATTTGTACTTGAAGTGATATATCTATACACAGAACCTCTAAAATCTAGTTCTGCTAAAACACACATTCAAAACTCAAGCAATGCAGAAGCAATGCTTCTAAACAAAGAAAAGATTACATTTTAAATATTTTTATCCTGCATTTATTAGTTTTTATAAATAACTCAAAGTAGCAAACATATCTAATGGTCATTTCTCCTCCTATTTATTTATTTATGCACTGATATTGATCTCCTCTCTGCTTGCCAAAAGCAGACAAACTGAAATAAAAATTCAACAGTTGACTTTAAATTGTTCATTTCCAGCAAATACATCTTGGAGCTATTGTACCTACACAACTAGTTCTAATGTTCAAAAGAATAACTCAAATCCCTTCTCCTTCATGTACTATGTATATCTGAAGCACTGCTTTCTGTTGGTTTAGCTAGTACTAGTATTTCCTCTCTTCACGGTTGAGTAAATCTCTGGTTAGAGAAACAGGCAATTGTATGGGGTCTGTGAAGGCATTTTGAACATTGCAAGTATTTCATAGGTGCTGATACAAAATGGCCGCCCTGGGGTGGAAGTGGTTGTTTGCAAAATGAGTGCCATGGTGATCAGACTGTTGTAAGTCATGTATCAGAAGTAAAATGGCTGAGTTCTGCTCTCCATCCATTATACCCCTGCGATTCCCTTTTTTTTCCCTGGAAAAGCAGACATCAAAGAAAAACACTGGGTTGCAGCCATCCAGCATTATTTATTTATTTATTATCCATCCATCCAAAATATTGAGGGGGCTTCTGTGCAACCAGAACAATCTTGTAAACAAGGTGGAGATGGCTTTGTTTTCTGTATTTAATTTCCCATTCTTTTTTAAAAAATTAAAGTAATCCCAAAGAAAGCAATGAATCCTTACTGATAAACCAGAATTTACATAAGCAATTCATTGATCCATGTAGTCTTTTTTCCCTCTCTGTCTGAAGAGGGAGATTTTTGTATGAAAAAATAACCTAGGCTAATAGTTTACAAACCCATAGCAAGATTCAGATTCAAAGCTGGTTTACTAATCCTGGCTTGTTTAAACAGCATAAAATATCATCTCAGCTTTGAACCTCATACAGCATTCTCTCATTTCTATTGTTGTCCATTTGGCACATAGAAAAGAGGAAAACCAAAGAAAATAGGTGATATATTAGTTTGTTCACTTATGGCTATTAAGTCACAATTCATGGATTATGATAATATAAGAAGGGAAACCAAAGTATGGAAATGTCCTTAGTGATTTTTGGTTCTACATCAAAAATAAATGAAGAGTCTAATGTTTGAATAGTTTGTTTTAAAAAGGATGAAGCACTATATTTTAATAGCACATAGCTGTTGACTCAATGCATCTAGAAAGATGATGCAAACAAGGCATTTATTAGCTACCCACAGATGGCAGTGATAGCAGCTTTTAAGATTTTTCTTCTCTCCATGAAAGAAGCAGCTTTTACTGCTTGCATTGTGGGAATCTAATCATATTATCTTTCAACTGGACTCTAAAATTTAGATTCTGTATCACGGTTGGATTAAAAATATGAATTAATATATAATTTCTGTTTTTTTCTTAGCTTAATAATGGTGTGATAAACTCTTTTTGTTTTTAAAGTAACTTTGTTTATTACAAAGATTTTATCTGTTAACATACAATTTATAATCCATACCAAATTCATTATGCCAGGCAACCAAACTTTAAATACCGAACTATGTAAAAATCTGCTCACTCTAATATCTCTGATGGTACTCAGTGTACTTTCAGCTAATCAAACTTGCTAAAGAACTGAGTTTTTTTTTCAAAAGAGACAAAAGATGACCTTTAACACCAACCAGAATTCAAAATATGGCTCTAGAAGATTCTTTGTGACACAGCTGGGTATTTATTAAAAATTATAGAACCAGTTGTTGTTTATCCCTACACTGTCCTTAAATAACATTATCTTCTTGCATTTCCATCTAAATTATTATATACAGGGACATATCTTTTAAAATAAAGTATAATGTCAGATTTGTCCTATATCAACTTTTCTCTATAGTTGCCCATTTGTTTAAACAAACTGAAAACATAAAATACATTTTAAAAAAGAGCGAGGAACACTATATAAACTAACATGTCTACTAAAAACCCACTGAAATATTCCACTATAAAGAAACCATAGGGAAATTCTGATTAGAAATAAAAAAAAAAATCTGAGTTTGGTTTAGTGTTTTATATTGCTTTGATGATAAGATTTTTTCACAACATTGATTCTTGATACCACCTTCCAATTACACACAGCCTAAACACAATACAGCTCAATACTTCCTACTGGAGTCTTGAAAGGTCCCTGTACAAAAAGATATAAAATGGTAGAATATTATTTGTCAAAACTGTATGCTATCTACATTTTATATGTTTTGTTTTCAAAGTGTTACAATGTTCATAGGAAAACCAGTAGTAACATTCTTTAGAAAAGAAGCAAGTGACTTCTTTCTCCCGAGGTCAGTAGTAACTAAGAAGTAAATGTAAGCACTATAATTAAAACACAGTATTTGGATTTTAAAGATAAATAACAATAATGTTTGATGCAGCTTATTGGCATATTTCTTGCCAGTTTAAAACCCACATATATTGATGCTGATGACAACCTAAGGAGAACTGGAATGCATAACTCCTATAATAGATATATACTTTAACGTTATTTATTTTTCATCAGTTAACCATTTTCTCTAAATATCCTCAACACAGCCAGTAACATCCTCTCTTATACGGAATAATTTGAAATCTATCAGATTTTCAACCCTAATGAAATGCAATTAGGAAGCAGACCTAATTATTATTTTGTCCAGAGTTGTTTTCATTCAGTCTAAGCAGGCACATAGATACTGATTTAGCAACAGATACTTAACAACCGACTACCTTAAAGAAAAATATGGATTATTTTCCTTCCTGCTCATCACATCCCCTAGCAGCTGCACTGAAAAGAAAAGAAGATAAGCTTAAAAAAAAGAAAAGCTACCCAGTTTTGCAGAAGCTGAAAAGAAGCAACTTGCTGCATTGAAAAAAAAGGGGCAGGCCTTCTTTCTATCTCTTCCGATGGAAGATTAAGGTAAAAGAGATTTCTTTCTTACCTGATAAGAACAGTTTTCCTGGTGTACCATCTCAGAGCATCATCCAGAAAAGCAGACTGAGGAGCCGAGACTGTTTACCGAAGCTGCAAACTGAAAAACCTGCAGGGTCTAAAGAAGAGGACAGCTTTCTACTGAGAGAGGCTTCCTGCAGATTAAAATGGATGCTGCTTCTGCTGTTTCAACCTGCGCAATGGCACTGCCTTTGCTAGCAAGAAGCAGTAGAGCAGAGCAGTTCCTCTCAGGGAACCAGCAACAAGGCTTAATAATAGGTAGCCAAGGCTGTTCTGAGGGGAAAGGAGGGGGAGAGCAGGCTCATGCGTTGCTAGCACAATCAGCCAATTATAGGCACAAAGAAAAAGATTGGCATGACGCAAGTGTGATCTTTTGGTGCTCTATGTGGGCAGTTCACAGTGGAAATATTCTAGTCCTCATTAAAAAGGAAAAGGAAAGGAAAAAGGGGAACTTAAGCACTGCCACAAAGGTCTATTCTTATCATTTCTGCAGTCATTTTTCTTGATAAGTAGACTTTAAATCAAACTTGAAGGTGCAACTTGTACATTCTAAGAACTTTTTCAAAGTCAGCCATCTTAAGAAAATACCAAAATGTTGCTTTGATGACTTCTTTTTTTTTTTTTTTAATATACTGAAAATGAAATATTAAAATCAGGGGAAAAAAGAGATGAGATCTTTTTCCTTCAGCAAAACAATCACTAAAAACAGATTCAGTGGGGTGATTTTTAATTACTGATTTCTAAAACAATGCAACTAACATTTTCTAATTAACCATTAGACTTGGTAAACCCTTTTCAAAAATGGCTTGAGGCCACCACAGGATGCGTTGTTATTGATCTGCTTCTGTATACTTTGAGCTGTGTTTATCCAAAAGAGAGATGCCTGGGAATGTCATGTAAAGATTAGATAGGAAAAACTCATCTCCTTACATCACTGAATTTGAAGACAACTCCTCTAAAAGAAACCTAAAATGAAAAATAGGTTATCTCAGTAAAACAAATTAGAATTTGTTCTAATTGATGCTTCATGGAGTCAATAACATTTAACATCCCTAAATCAGCCCTTATTTATTAATGTGTTTTATATCCCTCCTTTTATAAAGGAGCTCAAGGCCCCATACATAATGTACCATCCTCCTATTTTTCCTACACCAACACCCTGTCCAGTAGAGTGAACGGAGAGTGAGTGATTGGCCCAAAGTCACCCAATGAGTCTTTATGGATGAGGTAGGCCCATGGTGGTAAACATGGACCTACCTACTTTTTACTAGAAGATTCACTGGCATTTTTTCTTTATCTCTGAATGCATCTTTGTTGGAAAAAAATGTTAAATTGTTTCTTTGCAAGAGTACAATATATGCCGGCGTATTAGGCGACCCGGCGTATAAGACGACCCCTGTCTTTATCGCCGAGTTGCCTTCCTAGAATGCCGTCTTATATGCCAGAAACTACCAGTATTTCTGGCGTATAAGACGACTTGGCGTATAAGACGACCCCTGTCTTTGGCGCCAAGTTTAGCGCTTCCGGAAGTCGTCTTATATGCCGGCATATACGGTAATGTACAGATCCGTGTCCATCCAATTACTCTAAGACATGGGTGTCAAACTTGATTGCATCACATGACATATTGTGATATATCTTGACATTTTTGCCTTTGCGAAGCTGGGATGGGCGTGGCCTGCATGTGACGCATCCGGCCCCTGGGCCATCAGTTTGACACTCCTGCTCTCAGAGAAAAAGAAATAAGATCATTTCCCTAAATAACAAGATCCCTAAATAAGATGGGGGTCAAACTATTTTCCAAAGTACCAAAAGGCAAGAAAAGAAACAATGGATGAAACTAACCAAAGAGATGAGTAGCCTACAATTAAGGAGAAATTTCCTAATGGTGAAAGCAATCAACCAATGGAATAGCTTGCGTTCAGAAGCTGTGGATCTAAAATTTATCTAAATTTTATGGTACAGGGTCTCCTGCTCAAGCAAGGGTTTGACTAGAAGACCTTCAAGATTCTGTTCTATTCCCTATCCTAGCCTATTCTGACTGAATCCAGGGTTTTTCAGGTCTACCTTGGAACTTGTGAGAGCTTATCTACTGTAACTCAAAACATTTTGGAAACAAACATCCTTTAGGTTTGTCTTTTAGTTATTATTTCTAAGGATTTTTTTTAAAATTATGAATTTTATAAAATGTACAGTATTAACTGGGAAAAATAGTTAAAGATATTTAGAAATATTTCAATTTACTAAGCTACAATTCATTTTCTGCATTTCTTATTTTTAAGACAAAACAGCAACAGCACTCTCTGGTCTGGTAGAATGGACTAGAAAGTGAAGTAGGGGTTGTCTTTTACAAAGTCACGATGCTGGTAAGTTTCATAAAGTTAAATTTAAGTATTACAGACATTAACACAACAATCCTCTGGTTGGCACACTCTAATATAATCAAGAGGAGACTGAAAGCTCTAGTTTCCATTTTTTAACTACGTGGGACTCTTCCTCACAGCTCTTCTTCCACCAGTTAACTAGCAGAAAGCTAAACTGCCAGGGATTTTGTTATTGAAATACTAATCCCAATGGCTTCTTTTCACCAGAGACAGTGTATTCATTTCATGAGCATAGAAGTCCACCTTCTTTGTGTCATCAGCTGGCAAAACAACCCCAACTCTGGCAGTGTTGTGAGATCAGCTGGCTTGGCCTGGGAAACGTAGCAGTTGAGGAGGACAAGAGAACAGTCCTTGGCTCAGAGATCTGGACTAATTCATATAAGTGACAGCCCAAATAGCAGCTGATAAGCACCTGAAAAGGAGTTGCATAAGCCATTATTTCACTCTGCTGGTCCACTGGGCAGTTCTTCCCCATGTGCTGTGGTTTGGCTGGTTTTGATCACAAATTGAATCAAGAATATTGTGTGCAGTTTAGTTACCACATTTGAAAAGGGATATTGTGGAGCTAGAGAAGATTCTGAGGAGGGCAACCAAGATGATCAAGAAGCTGGAGCACATTCCCTATGAAGAAAGGTTGTGACATTGGGGACTTTTTAGTCTGAAAAAGAGGCAAAATAAAAAAGGGACATAACTGAGTTGCACAAAAGTATGCATGGTGTAGATAAAGTGGATAAGAAGAAGCCATTTTCTTAAAATACCAGAAAGATGAGATTGAAGAATCAGGAAATATTCTTTTACTTAACATATAATCAAAGTTGGGAATTTGTTATCATAAGATATGGTGCTGGTTACCAGCTGCTGTTTTCAAAAATCAATAAGATCAATTCATGGAAGTCATGGTAATCAATGACTATTAACCTTGATCTCTGCATGATTGTCTCTGAAGGCCATCTGCTCATAGACCAGTGGATCTTCTTATGCTATTTGTTGGCCACTATGAGATTGCTGGATTAGATAGGGCAGGGCACTATATGTTCTTTAGTTAAGAATAGTGTTAAGCTTCCAAAGCAGCCCAACAATAGTTAAAAAGCAGCCCAACAAATCCTGTCAATGGGGAGGAGTAGTACTTCATGGAGTAACAGACAGAAAGACAATCAGCTTTACTAGGCCTGAACCAAGCTGAAGATTGGTTGGATACATGCCGATATGCAGGTTTGAAAGAACTTGCCCATCTCTGCCCCAAGGAAATCTCAATACTGCCTTGGATGACCAAAAGGGAAGAAGCAGGCCATTACCAGTCTAAAAGTGCAACAGTGCTACTATGAAGCCATTTCCTAGCAGTCAGCTGACAGTAACTTCAACACAATGAATGGTTAAGTGTATCCAATTCTGCTTAAGGGGAAACCACTGCTTTAAAACAGCCAAAGACAAGTTCAGGCTGATAGTTGAATGAGGAATGGGTAGATGATTTGATGAACAGCTGATATGAAAGTTATATGCATGCACAACAATGTCACCTAGTTCAAGTATTGCCTGTGTATTTACACATAGCTGCAACAGCTTTGTGGCAGCTTTCCAAAGGTTGTTATAATGCTTTGACCTATGCTAATACACTTTGTGAACTATTTTAGTGTGAAGCATTATTGTTTTAATATAAAATAATCTTATGTCTTAAAACAGTTTTGCACAATTTCCTATATACATTCTGGCTGGGAGGGGAAAGAATGAAAATTGACTTTGATCATGTTTGGAACTTTTTCAATGTTATTTTGTCAGCAATCAAGGACTGTAAAGAGCCAAGAAATAATGGCATGGCATGGGAAATAAGAATTGTCCAGTTGATTGTGTATGTTTCTTTTTTTTCTTTTCCTCCTGCCAAAACTCAATGGAAATTCTGATTCTGACATTTGCAGCATAATTTCTGGAAGCTTTAGAATTAGGAATTTTGTGGTGCTGGTAAAATGAGCTTACAAAATACAACTTCTAACATGTTTTAGTGTCATAGATATATACTTGTTTCTTTTCATTTTAAAATCATTATATCATTTTACTGTATTTTTTCCAAAATGAAATACAAAAAGATTAAGCTGGTTTGTGTGTAGTTGCAGCAAGTAAGGGTAGAATGAGTATGAATTTCTAAAAATAAAACCTGATATCCTAAAAATACAATTGCAAACAATTCCAGCAAAGGAAACATGGAATTCCAGCAAAGAATGGTATAAGCCAATATGGCTGCTCCAAAAATGTAACAGAAATCTGAAACACAGAAAGATTATTGGAGGCAGAAGGCGGGATCAGTCAAATGGAAAAAGTTCCTCTAAAAGACACAAATTTCTAAGGCTAAAGTTAAATGAGTTTAAATTGTTAAAATGAGTTAAAAAAAAGAAAGCATACAGTGAATAACAGACACATGGGAAGATTTTATGGCAAAAGGACTGATCTGAAAACAATTCAGCATCTTGTAATGTAAGCATGAGTTTATTAAAAATAAGTTTTTTCAAACTAGCATTAAGTCATTCTGTTTTTTAAAAAAATGAATTAATAGATTGTGGGAATATTGAAGTCACAGATGATTTAAGCAAACATTTGACAGTTGCATTTGAACAGATAATAAACAAACACCAAAAATGCTCATCAATGATTTATCATTAAAGTGGCTGAAATGTTAGCTGAAGTGGTCTTGGAACTCTCCAACAGTCACCCAGTTACAATGACTGGGTAAAGAGGTGGAAGGAACATTAATTAAATCTGCAGATAACACAAACTGTATTAGCTAATGTTATATAAGACAAAACATTCAAAATTACACTAAAAGATTAAGAAGCAAGCGGAAAATAAAGGGAGGAACAGAAAAATGCTAAGATGTATTTAGGAAAACTACAGTGAAAGAATAAATTACGGGATAAGGAACATATTATATGATAATAATATCTGAGAAAGATTTTGGAGCAACAGTTAATCACGAGCTGGATACGATTCGAAAGTATGACATGACTGCTAAAAAGACAAGTATAGTTTGGGGCTGCATGAGCATATGATAAGGGAAGGACCACCTGTACATCTTAAAGATTTGGATAATAATATTTGTGAATAAATTATAAAAAAATCTGCAAGGAAAAGCACTTGGCTATGGAACATCATGAGAAAGGCAGGGCTAGATGAATCAAAAGTTGGAATTAAGATTGCTGGGAGAAATATCAACAACCTCAGATATGCAGATGATACCACTCTAATGGCAGAAAGTGAAGAGG